TTTATTCCGAAATCTTTTTGCAAAATAATTTGAGACAATCCACTTTAGGCCAACTGATAGGGATGTGCTCGTTAAGTCAACAAACATGTTAAAAATGTATTTTACCCTATCTAGTCGGCAACAGAATTACTTATCAGTTAAAGTTAAACGATTATGAATATGTTGGCATTCGATGCCGGCAAAATGTAATGCTCTAACTGCAACATAGCTGCCGGTCATTAGTCAAGGCTGAAGCTCTGGCCTGGCTGTAACTCCAGTTAATCGGCCGGCTCTCCTCGCTCTACAACCTGGATGTAAACAAGCACAGTGAATAGATAGCATCTCATAAGAACAGAGCGGTTTGGCAGAATCTTGATCTAGAAAATGGAGATAAGTTTTTTTTTTTTTAAGAAGTTTTTTTTGGGCTGTGTCAGGTTAAACGAGCATATCGACCCGACGCAATGCCTCATCACATTTAGCACAGGTATGTGGATGTTGCAGGGAGGACGGAAGGCTGACGTTGCTAACGTTACAGCGTTTAACCAAAGAAAATTGTGAATACATTTAGCTAAATTTTGACTGTTTTCTGAGTTTTTTCTTACCTTTATTACTATTCACATAAACCGAGCTGACATTTCTGTTTCACTAAGGAGGAAATGAGTCGGTTAGGAACGCAAGCAGCAGCGTCTGTGGTGTGATAAGGTTGATACAACTTTGCAGAGTTAAGTGATGTGGTTCTCTGAAGTTGTTTTTATTTGTATTCTCTTAAATCATCAATGTTTTTCTTAATTATGAATTTATATTTCTTTTTATGGAGTTTTATTCCTCTATTTCTGCTTCAGACGTCTCTTTATTTTTCCTTCAGAGTCCCGTTTATTTTAAGTACAAATCAGAATTCTTGAACCTGTTATTACATATTCATTCAAGAATATGGGTGGTTGTGATTCAGTTGGTAGAGTCCGGAAGGTCGAGGGTTCGATCCCCAGCTCCTGCAGCAACATGTTCGATGTGTCCTTGGGCAAGACACTTGCCCGAATTGCTCCCGCTGCTTCCTCAGCAACGTATAAATGCGTATGAATGGATTAGTTACTTCTGATGGTCTCACTTCATAGCAGCCTCTGCCATCAGTGTGTGAATGGGTAGGTTTGACAAGCGGCGTAAAAGCGCTTTGAGTCATCAGAAGACTAGAAAGTGCTATACAAGCTCAAGTCCATTCACCATTAACCATTTACTTGCTGCACCACCAACACATGCGTGTCCCCAAATCAATTTATATGGATTCCAAATGAGCAAATACTTTTTATTTTCTTACGACGGAGGATTAGGGCCACGTTAAAAAATAATAATAATTAAATTTTGAGATTAAAGTCGTACATTTACGAGTTTAATCTCGTAAATTAACGAGTTCGAGACCAGCCTGCGTGAAAATGATGAAAGTAGAACTCTTAAAGTCTTTAAAGAATAAAAGAATAAAGTCGTTATTTTAGTCTATATCAGAAGAGCAGCAGCATCCTGTTCTCAAATGACAAACATGGAGCATCTTGTCCTAAAGGGTTCACTAATAAGGAAATAGGCTACTTCCTTGTGTAGTCGGTAAAAACAGTTCAAGAGAAGTTTTCACTTCAACTTGCAAGAACTTGTTTATCTGTAAAATGATCTATGAACAGGACACAAACTGTCTCTGCACATGAGACACTTTAACAAGGCAGACAAGTGCAGATAACAGACACAAATAGTTGTGTTGGGGCTTTACTTATGCAGATATGAAACTAAACATGCTTTTGGCACATCATCATCTCCACATTGTCATAAAATATCAGCACCCTGAAAAGATACTGCAAGAAACTGAAGAAAGAACCACACTGTTGATGGAAGTTGTCTGCAGAGGAAAAGACTTTAACATGTTTTAAGATTTTTTAACGTGGCCCTAATCCTCCGTCAACAAAATGCAAACATCCAAATCATACAACCAGCACTGAATTAGAGCCACAAGTAGGCGTTTGACATAAAACAGAACATTTAAAATTAGTGGATTAATGGGTAATTCATGTGTTAGAGAGTTAACACTTAAATTTTAGTTCAGAGTATGTAAATCATATTTCATTAGAGCAGTTAGTGACAAGTCCACAGACATCAGGTTTAGCCACCAAGCTTCTCAGAGTTAGTCTGTAACTGCTCAGGCACATGGACTCCTATGGGACTCACCCCCTCTTGTTCCTCTTGGTGTCCAACAGGATGGGACACCTCTGTGCTGACCAAAAGCTGCTCTCCCTCAGAAGAAAACACAACACACTAACCACTGACAATACAGCCTCAAGTATGACTCCTGGTTTTCATGAGCTAAAGGCTCAACTATGCTCTTCGTCAGATACATATACGGATGGAGTGTTCTGTCAGTACTCTGCATTCATTTTGTCCGTATTTCTGAACGTTTTCTGGAAGCTTACAGATATGGACCAAATGTCACAATACCACTGGAAATCATGGGGGCAGTGTTAAGCGGTGTAGCTAACCGTTTAAGTCAGACCAGCAAAACACAACGCAGAAGAATACTTGGGAAGATACCGTATCTCTTTGAGGAAAGACTGTGCGAGCGGGTTCATGTACGATGTAATGATGGCACATGGACAGACAAATACAACAGAACTGCTGGGTGGAGATTCGACGGGAAATAAATGTTAGTTGGAGAGCAGCCAGATACTGAAGAGGTGAAGGTCTGTTCAAGGCTGCACCCTCTAGTGGATGAATGTTTTAACGTCCACCCCAACATAAAGGACATGTAAGAGGATGTGGGTAGTGATGGTTATATTATTTAAAATGTGTGTATCTGTTTTCGCATGTAAAGAAAGCATAAATGAGCCTTAAGTGGAGATTTACCATCTGCAGAGTGACACATCCTGGTACAAGCGGTACAGGCTGCTTGTAGAGTGCAGCCAAGAGCGCTTTCATCTCATTGGTCTGTTGAGAAGATCAAGATTGTCATGGTAACTCAAAATGTTGTGCAGAGATATTCAAAGAGCAAAAAGATTACACGTGAGAAATGAGAACATACCTGTCCTTTTGTGAGGTAGTCAGCCAAGTTGTTGAGAAGTTTGTAAAACACTTCAAACCAGGGAAGGTAGCTGTAATCACATGGATTTAAAATGGCTGTCACTCAGTGATGAAGGTTTGGTTCACTTGGCTTCTTTCAATGCACTATTCAGTAATATTTGTACCATGGACTGTATATGAAGATGGACGGAGCAACTTGGGTGTGTGCCAAATTGACACAAGAATCTGTTCTGTTGTGTACCGTACCAACCTGCATAGTGTAATACCTTAACTCCACAAATGAAAAAATCTATAAATATTTTTATTTGTGAATGTAATGTGCTTCTGTACTGACCAGGGGAATGTGTGCTTTGGTCAGTGGAAAGGGTGTGGTGTAAATTCTGCGGCTTCCACCACCCCCCTCCCATCTGTGCATGTCTTGGTTTCAAATGTCGTCACCAGCACAATATGTCAGCGCATATTGCGGGGCGTATCTTGCCTTCGATTTTATAGCACCAATGGAGAGTGAAGCATGCTGTCCATATTACTACACAGTCATTGATTCTTGCACCTTCATAGATACCTGAGTATGCAAAGGCAGGTGTTTGTGCTGTTGGTGAGCCGACAGAATCCAAACCGCTGGCATCCCTCTATGTCAGTCAAAACAAAAGTAAAGTGCTGCACGGCCACTCCCTCCCTCACTCTGTGTGGATGAATGTAGAAGGAGGGGGACAGTGAGAGAAAAGGAGAGGCTTGTAATTAGAGCTGTCAATATTAACTAGTTAATAATGAAATAATAATGACATTTCAAACATAAGTAAATAATAATCGTTTAACAGCTCTAGTTGTCATATATCATTGAGTAAAGGACTAAGAAGGCAATAAAGACTATCCTTATTCCCAACATCAACAAACAAAAACAAAGAAAATCTCTTGTCCAACGCCTTTATAAATCCACGGCCTTCTTCCTCGTTTCATCGGACGCCATGACATCACACAAATGTTGGCTCTATTCATGGCTCCCCGTTAGTTATATGATTCATGTTAATATTTATGGATCCAAGTGTGAGGAGACGAGGCTGGCAGAATCTTTAATAACACTTATCACTACCAAAGTGATTTGATATGATCTGGACTTCAAATTGATACTGCTGTTTATGTTTTTACCTTATTTTTAATTTTTATTTTTATTTAGTGTTCTGTTTTTTTCTCCTAATTTCTGGTATTACTCATTATTTCTTTTGAATATTTTCATTCATCATCATTTCGTATTATTGTTCTTATTTATTGTCATTTCTTGAATTTTCCTTGCTGCTTGTATTTTTTTATTTATTTGTCAAGCTAGGTTTTGACATAAATAAAGTAATAATTATTTTATGAACATTTACTCACCTTTGTATGTCATAGGGGAAGCAGAACCTGGGTAATGTTTGACAGCACTCCTAGAGTTGACAGAAATGTGTTTGTTACAGGAGTCTGAAGTCTCCTAACATGTCTTAACGTCTGTAGTGGAAGCTTTTTGGCCTCTTAATTCAGACTGCAATGGATTCAACTGACAATACAACATGCAGTGTAACTATGCAATGGAAGGGGCACTGGTGGCACGATGGTTTGTGCACGCGTCCCATGTGTGGAGGCTGTGGTCCTTAAAGCGGGCGGCCCGGGTTTGAGTCCGGCCTGTGGCTCCTTTCCCACATGTCAATCCCCACTCTCACTCCCTGATTTCCACCTCTATCCACTGTCCTATCTTTCCAATAAAGGCACAAAAAGCCCCCCAAAAAAATCTTTAAATTAAAAAAACTATGCAATGGAAAATAGCTTAAGCTATCCTTCCTTCAGTTCGACTCATTAAGAGTCAAAATAAAAAGGAAAGCTTGAATATTGCCTTCCATTTGGATGTCTCTCTTTGTTCAAATGGTGATACTGTTAAAAAGGCAGTTCAATTTGCAAGCCAAAATTGCATGTAGTCAAAACATTAAAATGGCAAAACACTGAAAACTTGAGGCTTCAAAAAGGCAGTGGACAAATCGATTGTGATGTGAGTGCTGCTTCCATTATTTATTTTATCTGTGTTTGAAACACGCTGGTGTCAACCTGCCCTAAAGGAAGGACTGACTGCATTTACATTTGATTATTGACACTTAAAGAGTGTGAACTCTGTGAAGAGTGAGAACTCTGTGAAGAGTGAGAACTCTGTGAAGAGTGAGAACTCTGTGAAGAGTGAGAACTCTGTGAAGCTGTAATTAGGTACATGGGTGCTCGAGTCGAGTCAACATGCCAATTGCAAAATCTTACAATGAGGCTATTATACTATTGCATTGACTGTACACTGTCTGTTTTAATGTATGACAATTCAAATGAAATTAATTTAATTAAGGTAGGGAAATATTGTGTAATAAGCTTTTAACACAAAGTAGCTGAATCTAATGTGATCATCAGTAGGTTCAAGGGTATTTGGTCATGCACAAATCTGGACAATTTAAAAAAAAAAAAGACCAATGATGTTGCCAGAGAAAAATTCATTAGAGATGCGAAGGTCTGCATCAAATATCAATCAATTCATTCAACAGCTGTTGAGTTATTTCATTCTGATCTGACTATGGCCACTCCTAAAGCAACACAGCTAGCATAGCATACTGTAATATAGCATAACATAGCATAACACATAGCATAGCATAGCACATAACTGTATTTCCAGAAGCATGCAGGAAACAGGAGTGGGTACCTCATCACTGAAATCCTCGGGAAACTGAAACAGTACACTAGGATCTGTAACAGTAAAAAAAAAGAATAAACAAATCATCATTACTAATACTCCAAACAGACTCAAGATGAAGAGAAACACTGCTGGAAAAGTACAGTGCATTTTAATTCAGGTAACAATGAGTGAAAAATATCTGTCAAAAACTGATAAAAAACAACAACAATGAAAATGTAATTATGATTAAATTAAAACATCTGTAGTGTGTTTAAGCTCCTCAGCTCACACAGCTGCTCAGTCTATTAAATCACCACAACATGCCATCCCATCTGGTTCAAGTGAGACCCAAACAGGCTGTGTGGTTTTTCATGGTCACATGACAGGAAGTGTGAGAAACTCTCAGTTCAGCAGACACATCTCCAGTATTACATCGAATCATTTAATGACATGTAGCATCATATGTGTGTTTGAAGACAGTCTCAGGTGGTAGATAGATAGGTGGAGTGTGTGATAATGAATAATGAATTTGAGGAACAATTTAATTTAACTTCTCTCTTGCTGACAATAAAAAACATTGCATATTTAACCCATTGATGTCCACAGTGGAATTAAATGGTTTAATTCACAGAATATACAAGTAAGAGGGTAAAAAATACTTTTGAAAAAACATTGTTTTAGCTGTGAGTCATAAAGACTGATAGGTTTCTTTTCTTTTTTTTTCTTTTTTTCTTTTTCACAGAAATCTGAATCACATCTGAATCAATGGGTGAATAGTATCAGCTCTTAAAAAGCTCAGTGGACTCTTGGAATCTGTACTGAAAAAGATTTATGATAATGCTCTGCTCTTTCTTGGTTCAGGGATCACATTTTGCAGACTTTTGTTACATTACATATAGAGTTGAAGTGAAAGGAAGCCCTGCTAGAAACGCTGGTTTTTGGAGCAACATTTCTCTTAATTTCTTCCTTTAAATTGATTGTCAATAAGGGCAGATTCAAGATCGGTATCATTTCATTCAAATTTAATTGAATAATTACATTTTTTGTTTTTTGATTCAGATGACAATTGAATGTTAAAGGTCACATATTATACTCTTTCAACAAGTTTAAATTGGTCTCAGAGCCCCCAAAACATGTCCTGTATTGTATCATGCCTATAAACCCCTCTAGTTCAGCCCTGCTCAGAACAGGCTGTTTCTGTGTCTGTAGCTTTAAATGTAAATGAGCTGTGTCTGACCACGCCCCCTCTCTGAAAGGGGATGTGACTCGTGTTTTCTTGCATCGTGCCCTATGATTTACGGTGAGAAGGCAGACTCAGAGGGCAGAACAAACACCTAGCTGTGGGAGTGTCACCCACCTGGGGGAGGAGTTACTGCCCTTTGTGATGTCACAAAGGAAAATCCTCAAATGGCCTGATTGAGCACACATTTTCTGAAAAGTGGAGCAGGCTAAAGACGGAGAGGATGGACTTTTCATATAATTGGGGGTGTGGTCGACAGCCTTGGGATTCATATAAAAGTATAAAAACATGGTTAAGTATATTATATATAATATGGGACCTGTAAAAGTTGTTTTTGTTTTTAAAAAATCTTCACCATTTAAGGTATGACAGAAATGTCAAATCAAAAATCTGAATTAGTTCTGTGTATCCTCATTTTTGATTTCTACGGTAGATTTTATGTTTTATCCTCCCGCAGAAAAAAGCTTAAGAAATAGATTAAATAGCTGGTCATTGAGGTTAGACACTTAGAAGCCACATTCAACGCTGAGAGAGGAGACTGTGGACTCACCTTTGTCTCTGGCTACAGGACATGCTGCTTCAAAGAACCAGTAGAAGGTTTGCTCAGGGTTAGGTCTGACAGGAAAAAGATTCACAATGCTGATTTGAGATAATGCTGACAGTATGTTACCAAAATCTGACTTACATTCAGCCAATCACTTAAATCATTGATTCAAAAAACGTACAAGATGCTGCATATTGCCTTAGATGCTTTTTTAAAGAACAAGTGTGATAGGTTGACCGCGATGGGTCAGAAGATAATTCTACAACAAGCGTGAATTAATTGAAATATTGAACAAATTGTTTTCTGAAACAGGTACAGATCAAAGTTTTTGCCGTTTCTTAAAACACAGGTCTACTATGAAGAGTATGGCATCACATTAAGGGCAACAGAGCTGCTACAGGAAACTTCCTGTGCAGTTGTGAGAGGAAGTAATAAAAACCACAAGAACAGAGAGACGGGCAGACTTATGAAGATGGAAGACGAGAAAAAACGACATGATTAACTTACTTCAGTCTGGAGCCCATGCTGTCAGGACGTGTGTGTGTCCATGTGTTAGTCCAGGAGGGTGCAGGTCTTCAGGCAGTCTGCTGTATAGAGGTCATTCCTCTGATGTAGCAGTGATGTAAAGTAAGGCAGACGACAGCAGCAGCAGTCTGCACGATCAGCAGTGAAGTGAAGGAACACTTCCTGATCACTGGTTAATGTATTCTGTCAGTGTGTGTGTGTGTGTGTGTGTGTGTGTGTGTGTGTGTGTGTGTGTACACGCATTAAGTGCGTTATAAAACCACCTCTCCAACCTCTCACGCTATAAGCTCACTTCTTTATATGGCTATCACTTCTATATATTATATTATATATATATTATATTATATATTATATTTTACTTTATACTGTTGAACTTAATCCTTCTCATATATTTTAAAGATTTGCAGCTTCAATCAAAGGGCAAACAAATCTGAAGCATCTGCCTTTATGACACCGTGCCCGATCATAGAACAAGGGCCCTGTAAAGCCATCCTCCATCCCCAAAAAGAAAAGAGAAAATGAAAAACATTAAGGATAATGTTACTAAGAGAACAGGGAAGAGAGAGCCAGGGTCAGAAGCCTGGTTAGGCTCGAGCTCACCCCCACCATGATACCTGAAGGTTTCTCTAACTTAGGAAATGATCCCACATGGATCTCAGTTTATTTTCGTAAATATATAGAAATATATACATAGAAGTATGAGAACTTGGGGTGCTGATGGCCTATGGGTTATGTTGGCCACCCCATGTACAGTGGCTGAAAGTCATCGCGCAGCGGCTGGGGGTTCAAATCCGACCTCGGCTCTTTGTAGTGATGTCATCATGTCAACACCCACTCTGTCCTCCCAATATTTCCTTTCTCTCCTCTGCTGTCCTTTCCACTAAAGGCAAAAGTTCCCAACATATAATTTAAAGAAAACAAAAAGGAAATATGAGAACTTTCTCTAAATATCTGGATCAATGTCCATATTTCATAAACAATAATTGCCCAATCCATTGTTTTTATCAACAACACAAAAGGAGTAGCTCTGTTTTCTTTGCATTCCTTCCCAATTTTTGTTTTTACAATCATTAAATATCAAATATCTATGTTTATTTAACTTGTATATTTAATTCTTATATAAACACTTATGTACAGAGGTCCTCAGATTGTGTTTGTAGGTGAGTGTACCCTCTGTGTCCCGAGACGAGGGGCTGCTCATTGAATAAAGAAAGACAATGATACAATGTTTAAACTAGTCCATTGGGTTTCTGTATAAAATTGTATACTAAAAACTAAAAAAATCCAAAGCAACTGTGCAATGCTGCTGCTAATATGAAGTTATAGATAGTCATAAAGACCTGTTCAGAGACCTCAGGAAGATTCTCATCAAAGAAATTACTTTCTTTTCTTCCGTGTTTGGTTTCAAATTTATTTGTCATTACTGCCAGAACCACTTCTTCCTGATCACGTCATAAACAGGAACTGTTATTAATACTGAGCTCCATATGACACATGGTCTATGAACTTATTGGCTATTTTCAAGTATATCAAAAACACTGGGCTAATGATGAGGAATCAATGCAATGTCTGATCTTTTTATCTTTGAGGTATATATGAAAAGCTGATTGCTAAAATCTGTACTTCTCCTTTAAAAAAGGGTGTCTTACATGTCGTTACGCAGCAGTGGGTTTAACAGGTTTTTAGATCTCATGCTGCCCCCTTGTGGTTTTAGAGCAAAACTGCTTAATTCTTAAAGCTGGTTCTCCATTTTGGTTTGTCTTTCTGCAAGTCACCAGTAAAACTGGAATCCAAATAGGGCGTCATCAAATGCTGTCGATTCTCTTCTTGACCTTATTTTGACTACATATTTCAGCATCACATCATTTATCTGTCGTCTTGTTATTTACATGAAATTTCTTTTTTAAATTATTTCTTTTATTTTTAAAGGGACCATGTACAATATAACACACAAATGATGCCATTTGATGCATTGTACCACAGTTAGCTTAGAGCTAGTTTACAACTGCAGTCCCCTCGCAGGTCACATTTCCAACATAATTAAATTCTTATTACAAACCTGTTTCCAATAATGTTGGGAGGTTGTCTAAAATGTAGAGATTGAAACAAAGTGTTCTGATTTTCATAATATTGAAACTCTGTAATTGATTGTAAATGGCACAAAGACAACAAAGGCCCATGTCGAAGCTGAGAAATCTCCCTGTCTCATGCACTGATGGCAGAGGCCATCAGTATTAGCTAATCCCATTCATACACATTCACACGCTGCAGCAGGAGTAACTATGGGTTTTGTGTATTAAGTGTATTGTCCAAGAGCTGGGGGTGGAACCAGTTGAGAGACGACTTAGTCTATGAGCCACTGCCTCATTATTGGCTTAACATTTCCAAAAACAATATAATTAGTCAGTTTTGACATTTAATGTGTAGTCTGTGCTGTTTTAAATTAAATGTGGTTTTCAATGTTTTTTACATATTAAACAGTCACAGGTTTGTAAAAGTTCACACTTAAAAAAACACGAAGAGACAGGAAGGAGTTTGAAACAACAAATTTATTGGAGTAAATGCCAAATTAGACAAGTGATCATATCCTTGTGAGCTTTATTGAATTCTTGGCCCAATTATGAAACATAATGTTTAACATAAACACAGCACTACTGACAAAAAAACACAAGCACATCTGTGTTAGCTACCTGATATGTGTGAAGTGAAGATTAAGTGTTGTGAATCCTATTCTGGGCGGAGCAAAGGGAAGGAAAGGAGAGAAGAGAACAGAATGAAGGAATAGGAGACGAGGCAGGGGAGGAGAGTGTAACAAAGAAAAAGAGAACAAGAGGCAGAGTAGGATTCAGATAGGTGGAAGGATGGTTGGATGTAGTTATGACGCAGTGCATGAGGAATGATGAGAGATTTTAGCCTTAGGCCACTTCCTCCTCCCCCTCCTCCTCAAACTCTCCCTCTTCGGCCGTGGCGTCCTGGTACTGCTGGTACTCAGACACCAGGTCGTTCATGTTGCTCTCGGCCTCTGTGAACTCCATCTCATCCATACCCTCTCCGGTGTACCAGTGAAGGAAGGCCTTACGGCGGAACATGGCGGTGAACTGCTCAGAGATGCGCTTGAACAGCTCCTGGATGGCGGTGCTGTTTCCGATGAAGGTGGCAGACATCTTGAGTCCGCGGGGAGGGATGTCGCACACGGCTGTCTTCACGTTGTTGGGGATCCATTCTACGAAGTAGCTGCTGTTCTTGTTCTGCACATTCAGCATCTGCTCATCCACCTCCTTCATGGACATGCGACCGCGGAAGATGGCGGCAACTGTCAGGTAGCGGCCATGACGGGGGTCGCAGGCGGCCATCATGTTTTTGGCGTCGAACATCTGCTGGGTGAGTTCAGGCACAGAGAGAGCTCTGTACTGCTGGCTTCCTCTGCTGGTGAGCGGGGCGAAGCCAGGCATGAAGAAGTGCAGACGAGGGAAGGGCACCATGTTGACGGCCAGTTTGCGGAGGTCAGCGTTGAGCTGGCCGGGGAAACGCAAGCATGTTGTCACCCCGCTCATGGTGGCAGAGACCAGGTGGTTGAGGTCTCCATAAGTGGGTGTGGTCAGTTTAAGGGTGCGGAAGCAGATGTCATACAGGGCCTCGTTGTCGATGCAGTACGTCTCATCAGTGTTCTCTACCAGCTGGTGGACAGACAGGGTGGCGTTGTACGGTTCTACGACAGTGTCAGACACCTGGAGCAAAAAATAAAAATAAATCACACAAACGTCAGGGAGGAAAAACCAAGAAAAGGAACAAAATACAAACCAACGCAACATGATCGCCATACCTTAGGAGATGGCACCACGCTGAATGTGTTCATGATGCGGTCGGGGTACTCCTCACGGATCTTGCTGATGAGCAGAGTCCCCATACCGGAGCCGGTACCTCCGCCCAGGGAGTGTGTCAGCTGGAAACCCTGAAGGCAATCGCAGCTCTCAGCCTCCTTCCTCACCACATCCATCACTGAGTCCACCAGCTCAGCACCCTCTGTGTAGTGACCCTTTGCCCAGTTGTTACCGGCTCCACTCTGGCCTGAAAGAAAATGGTTAAATATGGTCAAACCATTGAATAGTGCGCTTTTTTTATCTAGTCAAAATGTCAGTGAAACAGGTAGAATCTGAACGTATTTATACAGAGTCAACAATTCTTGCTTATATGCTGACAATTAAGCCAGTCTTACTTATTTATGATAACCTACGTATGTGTTTTTGTGTCCTTGACTGATCACATACCAAAGACAAAGTTGTCAGGTCTGAAGATCTGTCCGAAGGGGCCAGAGCGCACTGAGTCCATGGTGCCTGGCTCCAGATCCACAAGGATGGCCCTCGGCACGTACTTCCCACCTGAACACAAATGCATGCGTCAAAGCTTCACACTAAAAAGGAAATCACTATTGCTTCACTAGACTTGCGGTGATGCAGCTACATACCTGAAGCCTCGTTGTAGTAGACATTGATTCTGTCCAGCTGCAGGTCGCTGTCTCCATGATAAGATCCAGTGGGGTCGATGCCGTGCTCGTCGCTGATCACCTCCCAGAACTACAGAAAGGTCGACAGTTTACATTGGTCAGAATACAGAAATAAAAGCTTACATTATAGATACAGGATTAATCTACTGACATTTTAATATCCCAAAACAGTATGATGTTTATTGCCAGCATTTTTAAAGCCCTTTACAATCTGCTCTACTTGTTAATCACCCGCAGATTTACTATGTGAGCATCAAAGAGCTGAAACAAATGATTAAACAATCGTTTGATTGAGGATTTTTTTTTTTTTTAAGACTTATTTTTGGGCTTTTAATGCCGTTATCTAGAGAGAGGATAGTGGATAGAGTCAGCAATCCAGGAGAGAGAGAGAGAGAGTGGGGAATGAAATGCAGCAAAGTGCCCAAAGGTAGGATTTGAGCCCGGGACGCCCACTTAAGCCTCTTTACATGGCGTGTGTGCACCAGCCACTACGCATCCGGAGCTCCTGAATTCTGAAAAATACAGATGACTTATTCTAGCTCCTTAAATGTGTGGATTTCCAGGTGTCTTAAAGGGAGCAATCTGAAGGCATCTGTTTGTGCTAGCAAGTATTCATTAGAACAAATGGTTAATCTATTAATTCAAAGAATAATT